CCCCCTTTCTGCCGTAAACAAGCCTTACACTAAGTACAAATCACGCTAAAGGTTAGAGCAGGCACTAATGATCATCGTTAACAAGAAAAAGAGGGCCAGAATAGTACATTTTATCGGCTAATGGGACCACTAAATGACCCCTCGTACGGGCCTTGGACGGGCCCTAGCCCTATGGCAGGTGCCGAAGTGCAAAGTTGGCGATATCTCAGCAACCGTTTGGAGTTGTGAAATAATATTTGGCAAAGTTGCACATCTTGTCGAGTTTTGTCGACTGACCGAAAGAAAATCCAAGGTCAAGTTCGTTAAGCTGCAGGTTCCGACCCGAATGCGCGTTAAGCTTTGGTCCCAATATTACGCCGTTGCCCCGGCCGGGCTCTGGGGTCGGCTGTCGTGGTTACCCTCGTTGATCGGTCTCTGGCAGGTACCCGTCAGATGGTCTGACGATGTCTTGTAGTGGCCCCTGTGGATTCCGACAGGGTAACGCGTGCTTCTTACATCCCGGTAGGGTCCCTGCCGCATTCCCCACAAAAGACGGTTAGGCATTAGAAAGGCCTCTGGTCCTGGCGGGCACTCCTCATATTTCGAGATATATAAACAATCGGATCCTTTACATTCACTTAGTCCTTTCTCTGAGAGGACTGCTCGTGTCTTACAGACAATAATTATCCAAGCAGAAGATGCTGAAGACGTAAAAAATTGTTCCGGTGGACTGTCGTCAACCGGAGGGGAACCTCTCGGTGTTCTCACGGTTAGATCACTGCATCTTTTAGTCGGCCGCGCCGGGAACTACCCGGCAGGGCCCCTTTTTCGAATTGCGACCAAAGCTTTAGCAGGGCACAGGTCTATCTTGGTCCCGAATTAATCAAAATCTGTTTTGATGCTAATAGTAGGTAATTAGCATGTTTTTGTCATTTTGGGGCGACCCCATTAAAATATTTTCCCGACGACCAGCCATTCACTAACGCATTTTTTGGTTGCAATCTGGCACATATTTCATGTAAGACGGGGCGCGAATCCAGGCACGCGTAGTTTTTGCACTCACTTCACTTCACTTCCCGATCGTATGTGCCATGGCTGTCCATCACTGCCCCACTTCGGAATCAAATGTAATTTCTCACACGAAACATCCGTCACCCAAATCACGAAATCGCCTGGGCACGTAACCAGGGACGCTGGGCCATGCGAGCTCACAACCCGATCGGGTGACTTTCCTGTCCGGCATTAGTGCGCCTAAACTCCAACATTTTGTTAGATGTCTTACCCGTAACATCCGACTACCGCATCACGAAATCACCGTAGCCACTGTCCCTATTGCATTGAAGTAAAACCCTTCCCACGAAAAGGCTAGCGGGCAAGTCTCATCCACGGGCAAACGTGGACGAGCAGTTAATGCGGCATCACAATGCTTTGGTTTGTTCCTGGCAATGCAAGAGAACTCGCAACAGATACCTTTCCTTTTCAACAATTGTGGAATAGTTAGTGAAAATGCTTGGCCGTATGCCATGAGATCTTCGGTTGTTATGTACAGCAATTTCTACATTAAACCAAATGCTTAAGGTGACCTCACGTCTTTTAGACTTGAAAGGATCTTCATATATATTAAAAACTTTAATACTAGTCATTGGCCTAAGCCTTGAGTATGAACTACCTACCCTCTCCATCTAATTCCTAGAAAGGTGTGCCACGTACAGTCATCTCAAAGCACTCTTCTATTTCATGGATCTGGAATCTAAGAAAACACTAGACAACGAAAGATGCTTCAGTAACTCACGTTGACAAGTCGGAATTTCTCGGTCCCAGTTGCCGTCCCCTTGGCAGGTGGCATTGGACTTGCCGACGAGCTCGTATCCAGGGTAACAAGAGAACTGGATGTCGTTTCCAGAGCAGTAGTCCCCGTCGATAGGAGTGATTTGGCCGTTCGGAAGTCCTATGGTATGGTCACAGCAGACACCTGAAGATGTAGAAAAAAAGCAAAGCAAAATGACATTGGAAAATCATTAGAGCAGTAGAAAACAAACATGATTTCTGGAGGGCTAAACAAAAACAGTTCTTCGATAGAAAAGTGTGTCACGGTTCTCATCTTTTTAAATGTAATAGACGGCTTTCATGGATATGATTACTATTGCGCAAAAAAATAACAAGATTGTTTATAAAGCACAAATAAATACAATCAATGCACATGCGTTAGCAACAAAGTACAAGATATAGTGTGATTATCAACATGCTTTCTTAGATACACCGCGTTATTTGTTCTCTGATAAAAAATGAGTTGAGTAAATAATTCACTAATATGATGAAACTTTTTCGAGTGGTATGGGTATGAACTTATATGTATATTACGTTTGTGCGTTTGAGTGTATGTGTGTGTGTGTGTGTGTGTGCATGTGTGTGTGTGTGTGTGTGTGTGTGTGTGTGTGTGTGTGTGTGTGTGTGTGTGTGTGTGTGTGTGTGTGTGTGTAAAGCATAGCTAAGATCTATATGATATTTGGTAATTGATGCAATCATGACGTCATATGATTGCCCCAAAGTTGTTATGCTTTAATTTTACACTATTCTCTAAAATTATTTGGTGGTTCTACGACAAGTTGTTGTAGTTTACTTAGCTCAAAAGCCCCCCCCTCCAGGCTAGCTTACGTAATGCTTGATTAGAAATAGCAGTATCTAATTTGCTTAATAAATGTGGACATTATCTTAATCTGCTGCGTTCAGTGACAGGACAATTCAAACATATGAGGAAGAAGAAACGAGGGGCAGATATAAATTAGGAAAATGAACACCCCATTTGCATCATCAATTAGAAAATGACACCATTTCGTAGTGAAAAATGGTGGGGATTTTATAACTGCGACAAATAGAATTCAAGTAAATGTCAACATTATGGATGAAATTATGCAAACAGAACATCATTTGCATAATTGATAGGCGGCAAATGCTACAAGAGCGTTCTCTTTTCATATACCTTGCTTAATCATAAGTGATATTTGTATAGAGAAGACTGAAAATGTGGAGACATAACGTATGGGAGCTATTTACCTGAAATATAAACCTTCACCTCACACAGTGACAAACTGTTCCTTTCGGCCATATTCTGTATGGACACATAACGGCCTAGAATCGGTGGGTTGCATTCCACCTCTCTGGTCTGCCCAGGGATGAGCGAGAAAGTCTGTCCACACTGGTCATTCTGGGTGACGTCCTCGTTCGGACCAACTCGCACCGTTACTATAAAATCACGTCAACAAAAAAAATACTGTAATATATTTTGTTTTCTGAACGTCCAACGTTATGCATGCGCAAAGTACGGCTCAGCACGCAGCGTAGATTCTTTTCAAGCACAAAACTACGCAGCGTACCCTTTTACCCAGGTCATACGCGACAAATACGCACTGCATTGGTCCCGCAATGCTCGAGCACGGTGCTAATACGCTTTATGTTTGTAAGGGATAAACGGTTCATACGATGAAGTCCCTATCACAAGATTGTGCATCTAAAACGGCATTCGTCTTTCACTTTTTCTAGGATCATAGTCAAGGTACAGTTTTACACAAAATTTGACACGTTAAGTTAATAATGCTATAGATCCTTTTGTTTATACAAACGACCTTTTTGACTTTGCTGTTTTGACTGCATCCTAAATGTATTTTGAAAATGTATCTTCCTAACAGGAAATTTTTTACAAGGAAAGGAAAATTATGTGATCTCTACTTACTCCCTGGTATACAGACAACCCCGGCATTCAAGGCGTGCCAGCAGTTATGAACGCCCCATCCTCGATGTCCACATTGGGACAGTCTCGTCTCTATGCCGGTACAGTTTACTTCATCAAGCCATATTTGCCCAGTGCCTGGACCAAAGAAGGCAAGTTGTTTCGCCCCATCTGTGTCTGCACCTGAGTAGCCCAGCTGACGGCAAACTACATTTGCGTCACTGATGTCCCAGCCGTACCCACAGACCGTTCCCCATGTGCCATTGTGGAACACCACAACTCTCCCCTCGTGAGCAGCGCTTCCACCTACGAGACGGACGTCTACATAAAAGACATAATATTACATATTTCTGGTTAGCATAACTTTTGAACGACTGGATTATAATAATATATTTGGTATGTCATTAGGTCTCGAAAATGATAGGCTTAAAGAAGAGGTCTGTGGACCATACGACATTACGACCTAAGACCACCCAATGGGCGAGTGGAACGGCTGGTGGAATTTTACCAGGATATTAGACTGATTATTACAAATGCAGTCCTCCAGCACCATGTTACATGCTACACATGGATGTCCCTCTGATGCAGGGGGGGGGGGGGGGCAGGTACAGGAACCAGATTGACTACATCCTCATCGGCAAGAGATGGGGGAGTAGTGACATCAACTGCCGAACGTACCCCGGACCTGACTGTGGATTAGACCACAACATGGCGGTGGCAAGCCTCAAGCTCAAAATAAAGAGGTGTGGACGGAATAAACGGAGAGCCCATCTTAGTTCTAGATGCATTAGACTAATCAACAGTCCGGGAAACCTTCAGTAGTCTGCAACAGATTTGAGGCCCTAGCTTAGCCTACTCCAGGAAGGAGCACCAAGCGAGTTCTCTGTTTCCCATTAAAGCTATAGCTACATCGGTGAAAGTGCTGGGAAAACTAGGAAAGAAAACCACCCATGGATTTCACAAGAGACACTTGACCTGATGGAAGTCAGGACGAGCTGAAAACACAGCAGAACACAGAGAGTAAAGAGCTAATCTACAGGGGATTAAACGGGCAAGTCCGAAGGGAGACAAGAGAGAACAAAGCAAAGTGGCTGGAGGAGACATACTGTATGCTGAGATGGAGCAGGGACTCTGAGGTAACACCTCACTTAGGTGCTATTTTATAAAACACTGTAATTTCCTCCTTAAGTATGCAAATTAAGTCCCCATTTGCATAATTCGCATATAACTATGTACATCTATCTAAGCTACCTGATAAAAATACATTTTTCCTATCTGGATTTTTCGGCTTTAAAAGATTTCGCCATATAGTCCTCTGCAGTTTCAGAACAAGCTGCTAGGGGGACCAAACCTACAACAATTATTCCTGGCAGGAAAAGTAAACTGTCACCAAAAAGTCAACGATATGGCACGTTGTGGACAAAATGTACAAAAACCGGTAGTTCTCCTGCAGTGCCAAGGTCAGCCAACAGGAGGCCCATAATTGACCTCTATCCTAAGACTAACTAACTTAAAAATATCATCACAACCAATAAAGGCGTTCTAAAATTATGCTGACAACAAAGTTGCGGAAACACACACAAACAGACACACACACAGACACGCCAAAAACAATACCTCCATTTTCGTGGAGGTAATAGCTGGCAGTGCGATTATGTAATTGCACCCATGTAATTGCTGTAAAGATATGCTTAGAGGTCATCTAAGTTTGTGCTGGACGTCAAACTGAAAAGCTGTGACATTCGGTGCTGAGAGAACCTACCTGGGTAAACAAATACGAAGCGTCTCAAAATGCTGACCCGGCTGACTCTGTAGAAACCTGCCAGATCCACCTTCCACCATGGCTGATTTTCGGTGTTTGTTTCAGCGCACTCAGTGTCATCACCATCCACAGCCTTCTCGGCTCCCCGAGGTCCATTTGTGGAACTCTGCGTGGCGTTCTTTCCAAGGGCTACATTGACTTCTGTAAGTAATTATTGACAACTTGTAACAGAAACATACAAATTTTTCAAAGAGTAGGTATAAGGACGGAAGACATGGTTTACCCAGGGAAGAGTTAACGTTGGGCATTTGTAAATTTCGTCAAGTGCCTGGTTTGGAATATAATATTGACTCATTCTAGCGCGAGTTTTGTTACTCCGTGAAGGAGGTCAGGACCTCCGGACGGAGTGTTGTGATCGGCTGATTTTTCGTGTTCGCAGTCAAAACACTGGGTTCTCTTTGTGTAATCGGCACGCAATTTTATACGCCGTCTTCGGGCATGCCCGTGTTGATGCACGAATGTGTTTTTTTGCCGTTGCAGCTTTCGCGGTCAATGCAATATTGCAGACGCACCCCTACAATTACGAGGCGAATTGGAATGGTCCAGAAAAACGCATTGTTTGGAATAGCAGTGGGGGGGTGGAACTTCATACAGATACGGGGTGGTTTTGATAAGTGGTTCCAGATGTTTTTGCCCATGGTTAAGAGATGCCAAGTTTTTCGGAAGATGTTCGCAGCCAAAACGCATTCTTCCGTACGTCGCATTTTTGTGTAATTTCGCATGTGGTGTGGCATTATGTCCGGGATGATGCACGTCTTTTTATTTTTACCGTAGCTGTTTTGATATTGGAGTAAATGGTTATTTTCGAAACATCCCCATGTCGTTGAAATGTTGTCGTCCGTTTATGTCACCGGTAGTAAGTCGCGGCGGGGCTGATGGGGACGGAAATGTGGGGTGGTCAGAGGTCAACATTAGGAAATGTTAATACCGATGACGTAATCCTATCGATTTCGAACTGGTCGGGTGTGGCGACCTAGTGGCGGCGTGTATTTAGTCACGTAGCAACTGGCCGGTCGTCCTAGCAACGACACATGGCCAATATTTTTGGGTTGGGCCGCTCCATAGTGTTAGTGGAGCAGCTCTTTGTAAACATGGACAATATTTTTGAGCAACCCATCAATGTGTTCTGCCTCGTAGTCGGATGTGGTCTGGGGCTGGTAAACCGCACATACAGTACTAGTAGATCGGGTAATTTTATGATTTGCTAGTTGTAAAGGCGTCGTGTAGTATGAGCCGGTATATGAAGAAGTAGCCTGTGTTACACAATCATGCTTTCGGCCGGATTGATGTGCAACTGTTACTAATTACAGGGACTGCGCTAATGCCGACCAGTCGCGCTGTCCTGATACACCGCGAATGTGCGAGTGTTCCCTGTAGACAGTCCCGGGAGTCATTTTTTTCGCACATTCCAGGAGCCAAACCAAAATACGTTCATGAACCGAGTCCAAAAAACCGAAACGTGAAAATCGGATGATCGGACCTGATGTACATTTCTCTTTCTGTAGATTGTACACACAATACACACATCTTTAGATAATCTGGCCATGGCAGGTAAAAAAAAGTAACCCTGAATAATACTAGATTAGCGTAAATGCATGTTTATGCGTTCAAAACAAGAAAAGAATTTGTTTCCCGGTATTAATCTCTTGAAACACGGCGCTGAATATTGACGCAAAAATATTTCGGGCATCGCGCGCCCTTCCCCGTTGTTTAGACTGTATGCAAATCCCGCGTCACGTGTCGGCATTTCGCATCTCTGATTGGTTGTTGCGTCTTAAGATGACTGAGCCGACGCGCGTTTAAACAATTTTTCTTTGTTCGATTTATCACACTTAACAGAGAATTGTCGCCAATTGCTACTTCTTTTTGTTGCAATATCATCATCATCTTTGATACTGCTTAGCCTTCTAAAGAGAAGATTACTAGCAGCTGCGCATTAATACTGTGTGCAAAGTGCAAACAAAGGGTAAGGTAGGGGTGGACATGGACAAGTGCAAGGACAGGACAAGTGAAATCAGTGGTGCTAGTGTTACACGTATTTACATATGTACAAGGACCGGGAAGCAGCTCAATGCAGCGAAGCCCGTCCCAGCTCAGCTTTGAACTGGGAGATGGACTTCGCCTCCGCCACACTGGGCTCAAGTTCATTCCACTCCTTGATGGTGCGAGGGAAGAACGAGAGCCTGTAATAGTTGCTCTTACTCGCGATGGTCTGCAGCTTTAAAGCGTGATTAGTGCGGCGGGAGCATCGAGCTGCCGGGACAAGACACGAGGTGTGGGGGACAGAGATGGTGTTGTGCAGGACTTTGAACATTGTGGTCAGTCTAGCCATTTTGCGGCGGTGTTCAAGTGACTTCCATCTCAGGTTACCTAGCATCTCTGTTACTGAGGCCGTGCGTCTGTAGTTGTTGTATACATACCTGGCAGCTCTACCCTGCACTGCCTCCACCCTGCTTACCTGATCGGAAGTATGGGGGTCCCAAACTGGGCAGGCGTACTCCAGTGTGGGTCTGACTAAAGCCATGTAGGCACGTTGTTTGGCCTCCACACTGGCAATCCGCAGGTTTCGGCGCAGCATGCCCAGCGTTCTGTTGGCTTTGGCCGTTACGTTGTCAACATGGGGGTTCCAGGAGAGGTTTGAAGTAATTTTTACGCCCAGATATTTGGCCTTACTTACCTTAGCTAGGGGGGATCCATGAAGGGTGTAGGAGTAGTTGATGGGTTTTTTCGTCGAAGGAACAGACATGACTTCGCATTTGGAGGGATTAAACTTCATGAGCCACATTGTCTCCCATTTGCAGATATTATCTACATCATGTTGCAATTTGTCACAGTCTTTTGTCTCCCGTATTGCCATCTGCAGTATACAATCGTCGGCAAATAATCTTACCTTGGCGTGTACTGCGTGGCTTGGGAGGTCATTTATGTATGTCAGAAACAGGATGGGCCCCAGGACAGTACCTTGGGGAACGCCGGAGGTAACAGGTACCGAGTCGGAACTGTCCCCATCAAGCACGACACGCTGCGTCCTACCAGTCAGGAACTGTTGGATCCAGGCCAGAGACTTACCCCTAACGCCATAATGCTCGAGTTTGTGAATGAGCCGGCGATGGGGGACTTTGTCAAAGGCCTTGGCAAAATCCATCAGAACCAGGTCGGTTTGTGTGCCGCAGTTTCTGTTAGCTGCAAGATCATCGACAAGGGAGAGGAGTTGTGTTTCACAGGATCTGCCTTGTCTGAAACCATGTTGCATTTCACATAGGATGTCATTGCCATCTAGGTGACTCATCATGGAACTAGCAATAATGTGTTCCATCAGTTTGCAATATATAATACTTCACGGAGAATTGTCACCTATGGCTTCTTGTTGTTATTCCTGTCCCCTATACCCATGTAAGCTCACAATCAAATGCCATTAAAAGTAACGTTAAGTCAATGTGAGTAAATGGTCCTTATTCAATTAACCCTTTTCTTATCACATCCGTGAGGTATTGCCCGTGGTGTGTCAGTTTTATCATTTGTGTATCCTTATGTCGGCATACTTTGGCCTTTACGAATTGATTGTGAAGTTAGATGATTACTAATAGGTGTCACCGGAAGGAAGACGAAAAATTTCCGGACTATGCATGATGAACAAAATGACTAATAAACTGGTGAACGTACCAACTACTTAATATCCAATACCAGCTCAGAAAACAACAAGGGGTGAAGAAATAGCCATGCCGTCAAGTACCGAGTTATCAACCACGGATTGAGGTGTTCAAAAACTCATTCTTTCCTCGAAATATTGCAGAGTGTAACTAACTGTCACCAAGTACAGTAGGGGAATTAGTAGGGAACCAGATAGCTTTAAAATGTTTAGAGTTAGATTTTTAAAGTTTTGGTGTAAATGTCGTTCGTTGTAATGTAGCCTGTTGCCGCCGCACTGCGTGCCTTCAAAGCTGGTATGGTACGCCGAAGGGTGGTTATACAGATACAGATAAAGATCTTTGCACTGCTTAACATGTCTCGGCTCTACTCGTGAACTTAGTATATCTTCCGCGGGGTAGTTTGTTTGTTTGTTTGTTTGTTTGTTTGCTTGCTTGTTTCAGTTAAAAGTCTGTGAGTAGATCACACGTGTCTGAATTCTCATTCTCGTCACTGAAGGCGAGAAACCCAAACGGCATCCCTGTTTGAGATACACTATGAGTTAAGCCTTAATGCGCCGCCTACCTATTGTTGTGGAACAAGTAATAGTCCACCTTTAGGCAGTCTAACAGCGATCTACTTATTTGAACAATATGAATTTCATGGGAAGCGGCCTATTGCCAGTATACGTTTTCTAGGGCCGAGGCAGCCAAGCATGATGACGGGCGCGCTTGGCTCCGGAGTTCTTTCTTTGGACCGATAATTTCTTCCCTGGCCTGGGACTCTAAATAATGTCATAAGAACAGAAAGATGTGTATACATTATGCATTTCTTTATATTTATCCGTTATGATTTTTCTTATTTTTAGTCTACACATTATCGGAGTAATAGGTCAACAAAACTTCGCAGAGGAATACTGGCCGAAAATTTTTCCACGGGGATTTTTAAAAGGAAATTAATAAATCAGAGCATATGACTTATGTACTCGGGGCGATAGTGGTTTCTTACAGTTATGCAAACGGAAACATTGTCGGAAACATTTTCGGAAACATCCTTGACGCATTTCGTTATGTTTGTTATTTGTTCATTACTTTAATGCTTTCACTGATGCTTCTAAGCCACTGTAGCTAGGTTGACAGCTTTTGGAACCCTTTCAATTTTAGTTGCTTTGCTCATACCTTCTATTACTACTCGTTTAACATAAATTGTTTCCTTTTACGAGATTGTTCTGCTTTTTTAAATTCGTGATAAGAATGTAAATACTAGACATCTTACCTTCGCCACAGTATGTTCCAGTCCAGCCGACGTCACAAGCACAAGTGCCCTCTGTACTTCCCGTGGTGCAGACCCCGCGACCGTTACAAATCCTGTCTGACACAACGTCGGTCAGTGCGTCGTCTTTCATGTGGGGAGGGGAGCTGCAGGTAGGGTTATCGCGAATTAAACCGCGCACTGAAGTCATTATATCATGTAAACTACAGTCACACCTCCAGGGGTTCCCGGTTATGTCAAGGAATGTCAGGGTAGAAAGGTGTTTGATATCTGCGTGGAGACTCGAGATGATATTGTTGGATAGGATAAGCCATACCAAACTGGTCAGATTTGAGAATACTCCATCCGGGAGATCAGCTATATGATTATGAGATAGTTCCAGCCTCCCAAGCATGGTGAGATGTGAGAAAACTCCATCCGGGAGATCAGCTATATGATTATCAGATAGAAACAGCCACTCCAGATGGTTGAGATGTAAGAAAACTCCAGCGGGGAGATCAGTTATATGATTATCAGATAGATCCAGCCACTTCACATGGGTGAGATGTGAGAAAACTCCAGCGGGGAGACTCGAGATGTTATTGTTGGACAGGGAAAGGAATACCAAACTGGTCAGATTTGAGAAATCCACATAAGACAGATTCTGTATGTTGTTGTAACTCAGAAAGAGACGAGCTGTATCCGATGGTATGTTGGCGGGAACGTCTGTGAGCCCCCGTCTGTCACAGCGGACCCACCCGTTAGAGTCACAATCACATGTCTCCGGGCAGGTGAAGACAGCCGTGACGACCCACAGGAGACCGAGGACACCGACTGCAGCAGCTCGGCACGTCACGCGAAACGTCTGCATCCTGCTGCTGCTGCTACAAGCACAATGAAGACATAAAATAAATGTACAGATAGCATCACAGAAATCTAAAACCGTGTTGTTGATTTATCAGATATTACGTTATTATGCTAACAACGAATATGCTTCAGCATGAAAGTCCATCTGAGTTGGTAAATTACATTATGAAAAACTTCAACTTTTGTGCAACTCAATATTTGACTCACCAGAAATTTTCGACTGGATCACTCAGTCTTCCTCAGCTATCTGACCCAAATGCTGTGGACACGTGATTTTTCCCACGTGTTACGTCAGCAAAGGGTCAAAGGTTGTCTGAAGTCGATATCGCCCCCCGTCCCGGTTGAGCGATGGTTGAAGTGCCCTGATGTATATGGCCTCTTTTATGCCTCTCTTGAAGTAATCCTGTTCGGTATCCAAGATTCTGACCCCCTCCAGATCCACTGTGTGTCCCGGTGATTCTATGTGGATGTGCTGTGACACCTCAGATGCAACAGAACTGGGTCGTCTATGTTCTAGAAACCTGGTTTTTAGTGAGCGCTCAGTTTCCCCGATATAAATTTCCCGACAGGGGCCTCTGTTAGTGTTTCCCTGGCAACTTATGTGGTAGATAACCCCACATTTGTCTTCCTTGGGAGTTTTGTCCTTAGGTGCCACAAGCAGTTGTCTTAACGTACGATGAGGTCTGAAACAGGTACTCACTCCGTGTGCAGCAAAGATTCTACGTAGGGGCTCAGAAACACCCTTTACGTATGGGAGGACTACAAGTGGCATTAAAGAGGCCATATACATCAGGGCACTTCAACCATCGCTCAACCGGGACGGGGGGCGATATCGACTTCAACCTTTGACCCTTTGCTGACGTCACACGTGGGAAAAATCACGTGTCCACAGCATTTGGGTCAGATAGCTGAGGAAGACTGAGTGATTCAGTCGAAAATTTCTGGTGAGTCAAATTTTGAGTTGCACAAAAGTTTAAGTTTTTCATAACGAATATGCTTGTTTGTGCACTGGCTGCAAGGCTAATTTTTATGAGTAAAACTTGATGATGTACATTCCATTGAGCAATGATGTTGTTGAAATAGTATGTCTATAAATATATTATATCTATATTTTTGAAAATATATAGTATAATTTTAATTTTTTTAAATTTTACCTTTATTTCCAAATGCCACAAGTATTAAATTCTTGCTGTTAGAATTATAACATTTGCTTATTCATTGTGCAGTTCATTTGCCTAATTTATGTACCTTGATATTACTTGATATTAAATGTCGAATGTCTATTATGGGACGCACCTGAGTAACACGATTTTGTCATAAATTATGCAAATTAGCTCCTGATTTTTAGAGCAAGCTGCTAAGGGGCCTGAACTTAGGTCGCTATCATAAGAGCCATCTACAACCCGACAGTCGTGACTTTAGCATGCCCAGAACACGAGATATCATAAACGGAAGTTCTTATGCAGCACCCTCAAATCCCGCTAGAGGGGGCCATAATCTAATCATGTATATGTCTCAATTAAACCTACCCACATATAAGATTTATGTAAGCCCTTTTTGAGCTATCGTGGTGACACGCACACACAAACTATAGTAAATATAGTAAATTTACGTAGAGGTTCTTACGGGACAATGAAGTGCCGCCAAGACAGTGCCACCAATACATGCACTAAATAGTATCTAAAGCTATTAGAAGTAGCACACAACTAGAGTTCCACGATCTCATACCGTCACCAAATGATGTTAATATCATTCCTTCTGATTATGCAAATAAAATCCTCATGAATTATATCAGTTGATCATATTCTCCACCAAAACACAGCCTTAATACCTTTACAAAGAATGCCATTGTAGCATTTCCACATAGAGTATGCAAATGAGGTCCTTATTTGAATAAGTTATGTTTAATGATGTTCGCCTTTACTTTCCTCACTCCACCCAGGTGTGAATGGGTACCTAACTTCGGTTGGGGAAAGTCGTATTGAGGTCATTTTGTGGCGCCGAATGGCAGCCGCACAGACCCTTACGACAGTTCCACAAAAATAATTGTGGAACAAATATGTGTATCATGTGTATTATTTGATTGCTGTAATTGTAATTTGTATTGATTATTATGTGATACCCTGCATCAATTCAGCCGTATAAAGGCTGCGACTGTACGGGTACTGTTTGGACAATAAAACCATTTATTATTTTTTTTATTTTAAATACCCCAAGTATGATACTCCAGGCAGTTACAATTATGTAATTATAACATTTTTTCATTACTTATGCAAATTAAGTGTTAATTTACATAATCAATATCTGTCTGTGTTTCTCTCGTTCTCAATTACATATGTCACAAGCTGTACTATGAAGTAGTGATTTATAGAATTTCCTAAAAAAATTATGCAAATTACATCCAGATTGGCATATTCGTCGCATACTGTAATTCCTGATTTGTTCACTGTACTGATAAGTTCACTGTTTTCACTGTTGCTTCTGTACAGTGAACGTATCATTTACAGTTAACAAATAGTTCCTGGACTTTCTTTTTTCTGAATCTGTCACCACAGTGAACATATAGTTCCGTGAAAATGTCCATTTTTCTCAGACCGTGAAATTTTGCTACCGTGAACATAAAGTGAATTACAGTAATTATTTCAAGCGTCACTTTAGCTATCTACATACCAAAATCAGGACGATAGGTTAATCGGTTCTTGAGTTATCCTCTTTTGAATATTTTAAGGAAATCGCTAGCGGCTAGGGGGCCCAAACCTACGGCACTTCTTCCCCAGAACAAGACCTACCTACCACACAAATTTCGTGACCATGGCACGTCCAGATCATAAGATATCAAAACCAGAAGTTCCGCTGCAATACCACAACAAGCCGCCAGGGGGCCCAAAATCTAATCATGTCGAGGTCTCATCAAGACCAACCCACCTACAACGTAGGCCGGCATTCCACCGGGACACATTTCTTACGTCACAGACCAGATGAACAGAATAAAGGTGTGTACTTCGTAAACCCGGGTAAAATGTGTGACCTCACAGATCAAATGATCACAACAAATACGTGAATTCTGCATTACGTATAGGTCAATACAAGACATCGTCACTATCGACAGAGAATCTGCTAGGTACCTGCCGGGTGCCTGCCGGATACCGACCAAAGAGGGTGACAAAATTTCTAACAAAATGCTACTGAAGGAAACTTTTAATTGTGACCACGACAGCCGATGCCCGCTCGACTCCTGAACCCGGCCGGGGCCAGCCGGGGTTACATCCCCGACGGGCACCGGCGTAATTGGGACCTTAGCTTTAGCAAACGTTATTGGCAGGTTGTGTCTGTTTATAAGAAGTTGTCACTGTTGACAGATTATTTCCGTCAATAAGAAGTTTGTTTTGCTACCTACAGGGTGTTTTGCAATGCGGAAACTCAACCAACTAAGCTTAAATAGTGTTCACAAATGCTAGGTGTAACTAACAAGTCGTTCGATGTATCATAGCCAGCTGCCACCGGCGCCCAGCTGCCACCCTGTGCCTACAAAGCTGGTGTGCTACGAAGATAGGTGGTTATACCGGCTGTACAAATATAGATACAGACACAAATACAAATGAATGGTACTTGATTCAACGTTATCCCTGTGCTTCCTTGTAATATTTTTGGGGACCTCATAAAGTGCGAAATGGAATGAAATGGATGTCCTCCATAAAATTAATATTGTCTATAATCATATATAATAAGCGATAAATGTTTTTGATATAACGTCGGCACTGTCAGTAATGGATCACAATAATTTTTGCCCAGAAAAGTGGACTTGTCAGCAAAGTTCTGAGGGAGACACTTCTGCATAGTACCCCTATGCAGAAATGTCCCTTTTACGGAATATTGTCTATAATCATATTTTATAAGTTAAATCCATTTTATATAACGTCGGCACTGTCAGTAATGGATCACAATAATTTTTGCCCAGAAAAGTGGACTTGTCGGCCGAGTTCGGTAGGGGGACACTTCTGCATGGGGGACACTTCTGCATAGTACCCCTATGCAGAAATGTCCCCTTCACGGAATATTTTCTATAATTATATTTCATGAGTCATAAATCTTTTTGTTATATAACGTCGGCATTGTAACCGATGGATCACAATAATTCTTGCTCAGAAAAGTGGACTTGTCGGCCAAGTTCTGTGGGGAGACATTTCTGCATGGGGGACACTTCTGCAATAGTACCCCCTATGCAGAATTGTCCCTCCATCGAACTAGACCGACAAGTCCACATTTCTGGGAGAAAATTATTGTGATCCATCAGTGACTATGCCGACGTTGTGTCCAAAAGATTCATGAGTTTAGATACATGCAATATTTCCTTATTCCGTGAAGGGGACATTTCTGCATAGGGGTACTATGCAGGAGTGTCCCCCATGCAGAAGTGTCCCCCCACCGAACTTCCAACAAGTCCACATTTGTGGGCAAATATTATTGTGATCCATCTGTGACTGTGCCGACGTTATATCTAAAAGATTTAAAACTTATAATATATGATTATAAACAATATTCTGTGTAGGGGACGTATCTGCATAGGGGTACTATATGCAGAAGTGTCCCCCATGCAGAAGTGTGCCCCCACCGAACTTGGCCGACAAGTCCACTTTTCTGGGCAAAAATTATTGTGATCCATGGGTGACTGTGCCGACATTGTGTAACAATCATTTGCTACAATAAATATTCAAAGTATAGCTTTTTTTCAGTACCTAGGGGGCATGGCAGACAGTTGCACTTAATTTATAGGTTTGCCTATCTTTGTAATTTTTCTGTTGTGAACTTATCTTAAATGATAAATAATCATCAAGATAATAATAAACGAGTGTTAACTTGATTTTTACATCACTGATATTAGCTTGGTTTTTCGTTTCAACCTTCTCTCAACGTCAACCTACATGTTTTTAGTCGGTTTGACCTTTTGTCCCTGAGGGCCTTCGTAGTTTTAGGGCCACGCCCACTTCCGGTGTCAGCTTTCAA